CACAGTCCAGTACTAGATACCGTTTGTCATTCTGTAAAATTTTTTCTACATCTTTCAGGTGCTGATCAGATTCTTGGATTAGTTTTTTGGATCTGTTCTGTGGATGAACAGAGGACTTCAGTCTGCGGGGCTGCCAATCCCAGCATCTTTCACAGGCTTTCACTTTCACATCTTTCACTAAATTAACTATATGTTATAAATTTGGTCTCTTTCAAAAGCGTCCTGAAGTCAGCTTTGGCTGTGATATACTTGTCTCTGATATATTCTTCAAACTCTCTTTGTTTTTTCTGTTAAAAAAAAAAAAAAAATTATAGAAATGAAACCCAATTCAAAATAAACATTATTTATTAAACAGTAATGTGCAAGTCACATAATAAAATTAAAAATTCAAAAGAAAAAGGCAAAGGGTACCTTTTCTTCATATATAAAATTCATTAAATCACATCTGCAATGCTCATTTTTACAGCAAATAGAAAGAATGAGGAATCATAAATTCATAATGGCTAAAACTTGAGAATCTGCTGCACTACGCTACTAAGCATTTTATGGGGATCATCTATTTTAATTTTCCTAACAACCTCATGAGGTGGACACATCAAAACAAGGATATTAATGATTCAGTGTTTACTTCCTACACACTGTATTTTTAACTTCAAGAACAAAAACAGTAATCTGTGGATATACAAACTGTAAGATAACACTCAGAACTTAACTTACATAGTACTGAGCATTTAGCTTTCTGGCAAGGCAAAAGTAATGAGATGAATAAACTCTTTGGAGTTAAAAAGACTTTATTATCAATTCTAAACAGTCAGAAAAGTTAGGAACTGAGACTGGGTCTACCACAATTTCCCAGTCATGTATATCTTCAAACATCTACAATTCAATAGACTTAGGGGGGAATATTAGTTTTTATAATAGATGCCCAGACCTAGAGAAACCAACCAGCAAAGGGGAATGACAAAAAACAAATAAAAGGCCTAGAGATAAAACGGACTGTAGTAAACAACACTTTTCTTGACATCATTCACTGTTTCAGACCTTGAAGCATATGAGAACTAGTGATCTTGTTACAGTATTCTGTCAGGCTTAAGAATCAAGTGCTCAGGATTTTTTTTTTTTTTTTTTTTTTTTTTTTTTTTTTNCTTCTCACCTCTGGTCTTCGAATCTTCTTTCTCTTTCTTCCTAGCAGCAGCCACAAATTCATTAAACAAGGCTTCTCGGTCTTTCATCTTTTCAATTGCTTTGAATCTTGAATCTTTAGCATGCTTGGCTGCAAATTCACTAAAAGTTGCTCTTGGATTAAATTTTGCTTCTTCCATCATTTTTTTGAAATCTTCCTTGGCTTGCATTATTTTGTTTTTCTTTTCCCTGCGTTCTTCTTCTGCCCTGGTCTTTACATACTGATCAAATACTTGTTTTCTCTCTTTAGGATTGAGAAGTAAGTACCGAGGATCAAAAACTATCTTGTGCAACTCCTTCTCCCATGTTGAAAAAGCAGACACCCCTCTCTCTAGCAGCATGTCCTTGAACTGCTTCATTCGAGCCTCCAGAGGGACAATGGCCCTTTCTCGGGCAGCTTTAATTTCAGCTTCCATGGCAGCTTCTTTCTCTGAGTCAATGTCTTTATTATCATCTCTCTTCCGTTTTTTTGCTTTAACAGGCTCATCTTCATTAATTTCTTCCATTAATTCTTGTTCTTCTTTAATTGCACTCATAGAGAATTGCCACTTTTGGATCGACAGCATTGTTGGAGTTGGGTGCCTTAGTTTCTTCAATTCTTCCATTCCTTTTTTATGAGGGGGCTCCTGAATAATTTTGTCAACATCTGCCCTGCCAATCAGATCATCAGGTCGGTACCACATAGAAAGACGAGTGGTGGGATTATAAAAGAAGACCCCCTCATCACCGGTCCAAACAACACACCATGGAGTACCAGGAACAGGAGTAGTAGCAACCAGCTTTGCCTTCTGGACAGCCTTTTCTTCTTCAGCCATCAATTCTTCTTTGGGCTCCTCCTTTATCTCCTTTATAGGCTCTTCTTTAGGATCCTCCTCCTCTGTCTCCATTGGCAGAGGCTCTTCAGAGGGTTCTTTAATTGGCTCCTTAATCTTCTCTTCTAACTTTTCTTTGTCCTTTAGTTCTTGAGGTTTTTCCCAGGTTGATTCTAATGTTCTATTATTATAATAGTATGTCTTGCCATCTGCTGTTTTATATTCAGTCCATTCAGAAACTACAGTTGCTCCAGCTAAGGTAGCAGGTGAAGCTGCAATAGCAACCTGGGGATGTATCATGGGTACAATAGGAGGGGCCATTCCTGGCAATACACCTGGAAGTGGAATTGGCATGCCAGGAAGGGGAACACGAAATGGAGGTACCATTACTGGTGGAAAAGCAGGTATTGCTGTTGTTGGCTGAGGTACTGAATGAGGAACAGCAGGAGGTAACGTCTGAGGGTGCGGCTGGGGAACAGTTTGCACAGGTGTGGCTGTAGGAGCAGGAGTTGAAACACTAACTGTAGGCGTGGCAACTGAAACAGCAGAAGTTGGGGTCTGATCTTGTGTTGTGGGTGCTTGGCTAAATAGACAGCAGGGTCAAACAAGTATCTTCAGGGGCCCAGGAATGAATTGTTGGTCTAGCATAGACCTAGCTTGATACTGTCTGCGCAACTGAAGTAACAGTTGTTGTGGTAGAAGTGGTAGAGGAAGGGGTGGATGATGATATTGCAGGTGCTGGGCTACTGGTCGTAGGGGTGGAAGCTCCAACTGCTTGTGCTTGCACTTGCGCCTGGACCTGGGCCTGGGCCTGGGCCTGGGCCTGTGCTTGTGCCTGAGCCTGAGCCTGAGCCTGGGCCTGGGCCTGAGCCTGGGCCTGGGCCTGGGCCTGGGCTTGGGCCTGAGCCTGGGCCTGAGCCTGAGCCTGAGCCTGGGCCTGAGCTTGTGCCTGGGCCTGAGCCTGAGCCTGGGCCTGGGCCTGGGCCTGGGCTTGGGCCTGAGCCTGGGCCTGGGCTTGAGCCTGAACCTGTGCCTGGGCTGCAAGCATAGGTGTCAGTTCTGATTGCTGAATAACCTTAACTCCATCTGGCTTGGTCCATGCAGATTCACGTGTCTGAGCATTATAATAATAAACCTTCCCATCTGGAGTTTTATTTTCAACCCATATCTCCTCCGCAGGAGGTAGTGCTGGAGTACCAGGAGCAGTCACAGGAGGCATTCCTGGTGGAAACATCATACCTGGAGGAGGAGGCATGGAACTCATGGGTGGAGGCATGAAAGGTGGTCTCTGGAGGTGTGGAGGGCCCATAGGTGGAGGTATCCCTCCTGGAGGAGGCATTGGCGGCATATTAGGATCAAAAGGAGGACGTCCAAAGGGGGGCCGTGGTGGTGGAGGAGGGCCTCGCATCATACCAAAAGGTGGAGGAGGCCGCATCAGAGGTGGTGGGCCTCGCATCACTGCATTTGGTGGGGGAGCTGGACCTCGGAACCTCAAGGCCTGCTGTTGGGCCATCCTGAGCTCCCCCGGGTTGAATTGCTCACCGTCGCCCCCGTCCCCACCACGCTCCGCCATTACAGAGGGCCGCGTTCATCCACCCGCCGACCCGGCCGAGACAAGTTTTTTAAGCTAAAAAAGCAGATTAGTTAAAAATGGATATAAAAAGATAAAATGAACAGAACAATCATGAGGAAAATAGGAGACATATTGCAGGAGGATGATTAAATATAAAAACTAAGGAAAAATGAGAAAAGAGGATAAAAGTACATCACAAAGATTCAAAAGAAGGAAGATTTTCAGTCATAGGCATCTAGTGTTTAAAAGTTGATTTCTGTATGTGCAGGAGAGCTAGATGACTGAGGACTGTATAGTATGTATGACACCCTCTGTTAAAAAGATTTGCATTCTATTTAGTTGGCCACAGAAGCAGAATTAATGGGCTTGCTGCACCCCTGAGACACATTTTGTCTCATTCATATTTGGGCAAAAGCTAGAAAAAAAGTGTTGGCAAGGAATTCTTAGAGCTTCGTGCTTTCTGTGGGTTTGTGCAGGTTAAGAAGGCTGTCTCTGGGATCTCACACAGAAACCTGGGTGAAAGCAGCTACTGGGAATTTGGCCAAGACCAAGGTTTATAAGGTTCCAGGGTGGAGCATGGGATCTATGCTATTCCACTTGATTAGATCAATCAAGGAGGTTACCAAGAAACTTCGAATTTATAGACCTCTATTGATGTCATTTGATACTACTTTATTGGGGTTCTTATTTGAGTGTTTTTATTTGTGATGAGTTATAAAGTATATATTTCATATATGAATTTACATCTAAGTAAATTCATCCTTCTTATATAAGCAAAGCTCACTAACCCAGAACATTTCTCCTGTCCTTGGCTAATTTATGATACTATTTGTGTTAGTTATTTTGTTCTGCTAACTATAGACTGGGAGGCTTAAATGACAGAAAAGAATTTCCTCTCAATTCTGGTGGCTGGAAGTCTGAGATCCTGGTGCCAGCACAGTCGAGGACTGGTGAGGGCTCTCTTCCTGGCTCGTAGATGACTGCCATCTCTCTCTGGTGTCTCTTCTTATAAAAACATTAATTCCAACATGATGGACCCCTTATGACCGCACCTAAACCTAATTATCTCCCAAAGGGCTCCATCTTCAAATGCCATCATACTGGCAGTTAAGATTTCATCATATGAATTTGGAGGAAAACAATTTCAGTCCATAGCTCTATTCTTAGGAGTGTTATCTCCCTCCCTGCCCTATCATGTCCATAAAACTTACTGAAGTAAGATACAGTAGTTATTCACTATTATATTATTTGAAATGGTAGGACTACAAACAGACCCCAGGACAATGTTTTCTTTAAACCAAGAAACATTTATAGAATAAAAAAGTGCAGGCTATGCCCTTGAAGAGTGAGTTATGCCATGTCAACAAGAGTTCAAGCAGTATTTACCTTCCAATTTATCTCAGAACATTTTTTTCCTTTTATTCTGTGCTAATAACAATGGTTTACACAGAACTTTGTATTTTGTCTCACTTTATTTGGAGCTTTATTTATTTGTCATTGATAAGTCTCTGAGAATAGCTGAGTTTTCAGGTCATTGAAGGGATTATTCTATGAATCAATTAATTAATAGAATGTAGCGTCATTGGTAAATCTCTGAGGATAGTTGACCTTTGAGGTCATTGATGGGAATATTCTATGAAGCAATAAATCAATGGAACACATGTTATAATGAGCTTGGTATTATGAAGTACGTATTCCTCAATACTATTATTGGCATTACTTAATAGTTCTAATTTTGTTATTGTACACTAGAGCAGTCTTATTCACTAAATTGCTTTTTGAAACTTTTTGCCATATTATAGGCATGAATAGCAAACACAACACTTACGTGTGATAACATAACATTCTAGAGTTTAAAGAATAATGCTACATATCTTATAGGTAATTGAGACCTATCAATTTAATTCAATAATTGCTCATTATTTACTTGGCTTTGTTTTTCACAATCCTGGTTGAATATCTATCTGTTAACATTTTTCTCTATCTTTATATGTTGAAAATGCTGCATATATAGTTATTGCCAATACATAATACATATATGTATATATATGAATATATGTGTGCATATGTATACTTATATGCAAAAACACCTATATATGTATCTACATATATGCACATATGTGTAAATGTATATGTGTGTGTATATATATGCACATGTATACATATATGCATGCATACACACATAACTACACCTATTGTAATAGTTCATTTTCACACTGCTATAAAGAACTACTGGAGTAATTAATGGAGAAAAGAGGTTTAATTGACTTACAGTTACACAGGCTTAACAGAAAGCATGGCTGGGAAACCTCAGGAAACTTTCAGTCATGGTGGCAGGTGAAGGGAAAGCAATGACCTTCTTCCCAGGTTGGCAGGATAGAGAAACTGAGGAAGGAAGATCTCATGAGAATTCATTCACTATCACAAGAATAGCATGGGAGAAATCTGCCCTATGGTCCGGTCACCTCCCACTGGGCTCACTGTAACCTCCGCCTCCTGGGTTCAAGTGATTCTCCTGCCTCAGACTCCTGAGTAGCTGGGATTACAGGCATGTGCCACCACACTGGCTAATTTTGTATTTTTAGTAGAGACAAGGTTTCTTCATGTTGGTCAGACTGGTCTTGAACTGCTGACCTCGAGTGATCCACCTGCCTCAGCATCCCAAAGTGCTGGGATTACAGAAATGAGCCACTGCACCCCGCCTATTTTTATTCATCTTTCTTGGGGCTCTATGACCTTTCAGTTGTGCAATTAGATTCCAAGTTTTCTTCTATAGTTTTTATGATTTCTTTTTCATTTCTCCCATTCCATTCTCTTTGCTCTTTTTAGAATTCCTATTAAATTGATGTTGGAATTTCTTTTCCTTGTCTGTTGACCTTTCTCTCATTATCTCTCTTTCTTTGATCTTTAGTGCTATGTTCTGGGAGATATCCTTGGCTCCATTCTCCAGCTCACAGATTTAGCATCTGGCTGCACCTATTCTCTATTCAATCCATTTATAGAGGGTTTTGTTTTTGTTTTTACATTTTAACTACCTTAGTTTGCATTTCCACTATCTTTAGCTGATATCTTATCTATGCAGAATTCTATACTAAAAGTTTATTTTCTTTATTGTGTCTCTTTTTTGTTATGTTTCCTTTTTTTGCTTTTGTGTGAAGTCTCTTTGTTTTGATTTTCCTGAAATTATTAGTAATTTTTTTGTTTTATGAATATTTTTTGAGTACCCTGCCCATCTCAGTAGGGGTTCTAGTTATATTTAATCATAAACTGCTTTTGTGATTTTGGATGGAAGATAAACATATTTCAGATTTTGTAGACAGCTTTCAGACCTCTTTCCTGGTTTTCATGAGCTACTGCAGATTTATTATTTTAAATATAAATATATTTTGTATTTCACGGCATTTTAGACAGAAGAGCAATTGGACATACATGTTTCTTCTTCCATATTGCTCCAATCCTCTTGTCATACTTGGAAATTGTTACAATAAAGTTTATTTTATTCCTTCTGTTACTGTGTTCATAGATAGGTATCAATATAGAAATTGTTAGAGAGGCAGATATCATTTTTCTTTGATTTCATGGTATTTTAGGCAAAAGAAGAGGTGGAGATGTATGTTTCTTTCTGCCATATCAGTCCAATCTTCTCATATTTTTAAATGGTGAAAATAATGACTATCAAGTTCTTTCTTGTCTGGATTACAAGCTCTTAAAGTTGTAGATTATATCTTATTCTTCTTTGTATTTTGTACATGTCTTGGCCATGATGTCTGTTTGGTAAGCTTTTGCTGAATTGAAGCAAGGTAAACTGAATATTAAAGATAAAAGTTTTCTAAGCACCAGAAACTTTGTATCTTAACTCTAGGCTAAGCATGAATAACCAAAGGGTCAGAAAGAAGAATTGTGAAGTGTTAACTTTTCATAAATAGTACAATGGTGAAATCAATCAAATATTCAAAAGTAATTATGTATTTTAATTCAAGGGCAGAACTTTTTATACTTGTTTCAGAGTGTCTTAATATCTTAAATTTTCCTCAAAGATCTTTCTCACTAAAAGAAAACAAAAGTCACTAAAAGTATGTCTCGGTTTATAATCATTTGAACTCTTTCTAGATCTAGCCATCAATAATGTCATGGGTGAAAGAAGAAAAAAATCAGATCAAAACCTCTGTTCTCTTCCTTTTTAAATCTTCTAGTTTGATTTACTGCTATACCAATCTGAATGAATTTTAGATAATTACAGGAAACATGGAAGCAACTCAACATTCATATGGAAAATTTCTTCTGAAATATAGCAATAAATAAAAGAAAGCCTCCTTTTAGTGAATACCTACTCTGGTATATTCCTACTATATAGTAAAGTTATTTAAACTCAGAAAAGTTTACCTAACCTTCATGAGGATGGCCAGTATCAAAATAAACAGAAGAAAATAATAAGTGTTTGCAAAGAAGTGAAGAAGTTGGGAGTCTTTGTGCATTGCTGGTGGGAATGTTAAATGGTGCAGCCACTGCAGAAGACAGTATAACGATTCCTTAAAAAACTAAAAATAAAATTACTAACACAAGCCAACAATTCCACTTCTGAATGTATACCTCAAATAATTAAAAACAGGGACTCAAACAAGTATTTGTAGACCCATGTCCATTGCAGCATTATTCACAATAGCCAATAAGTGTTCACGGATTAACAAAATGTGGTACACAAATAGAATGGAGTATTACTCACCTTTAAAAAGCAAGGATATTCTGGCACATGCTACAGCTATTTCACTTACATTTTGCTAAGTGAAATAAGCCAGTCACAAAAAGACAAACCGCGTGATTTCACTTATGTGAGCCCAGGAGTTCAAGGCCAGCCCGGGGGACATGGTGAAAAACCTGTCTCTACAAAAAATAAAATAAATAAATTAGCCAGGTGTAGTGAAGCACACCTGTGGTCCTAGCAACTCAGGAGGTGGAAGAATTGCTTGGGCCTAGGAGGATGTGGCTGCAGTAAAGAATCAAATTCAACAGACAAAAATTAGAAGTGTCGA